AACCACAAACGGTTCAGGTATATAAAAACATTCATCCGCATAACTCACAACGTCTTGAAACCAAAAAGAGGCCTCATAACTATAACCAACTATTAATGAAAACGTGTGTTTCGAAGTAGAAGACCTATTTGTGTGTGATTTGACTCGGGATTTGAACTTCCTATCAATCTTTTGTCCATCTAAAATGAGAATTATCTAGAAATAAGACATCAAATTGTTTAACACTCTCTTAACACCAATTGTAATGGAACAGAAATTATTACACTTGTGTAAGTAATATCCATACATTACAGAATTACTGCAAGTGATGATACCATGTACATGGAATACACAATAATAATAAACATTGCACTGTCGAGTATCAAATATAACAATCAGATCTCCTCGGCTATTTTGCTTCGCAATAGAGCTCAGACGTAATGACATGGTAAAATGGGGGCCTCCTTGTTCCATCTTTGTCGCAAAAGTGACAGACACACGTTTCTTTTATACATTGGAATAAAGACTAAATAACTGTAATAATTTGGAATTGATAACAGTCAATGTCCCTTCTAAATTAGGCATAGGCAAACTGTGTAGGATTTGTAGGAAAACATTACTTTCTCGCGAACGAATATAACTTTATAACGCGGGCGAATTGCATTGGTGTATTCGCGTTCCACGTATAAGATAGGCCTCTTTTTTAAATATGCGGGAGATGCCGATTTTTTAAGATTGCAGATATAAAAAGAAGAATATAATTTTGAATAAACCAACTGCTGTTGATACTGCAAAGCTTATTAACATTTGCATCCTCTTATTTTGAATAAAGATGTAAATTACATCGACTAAGTTGTTTCCTTAGTTGAATTGTAAAGCAAAAATATATTAAATATGGAAGAATCAGTTGATAGTTCTGGAATTGAGAATCACGGTCATACTCTCCGGAATTAAGGAATCAAAGTGAAGAAAGTACTGACGGAATGCCACTTTCGAACAAAAATTATCTATTTTTACCTCGAATAACTATTTCCTTTAGGGAAATAGGTCGGAGTGAAGGCATTTAAAATAAATCCTTCTCAAATCTACATTTTGCACCACCTATGAGAGCGACTTTATGTCATGCATTGCTGTTGTGCTAAATTGTCACGCGTCAGTACATGTATTATTGTTCTTATGCATTTGCAACAGGAAATAACGACCTACGAACTTCCAAATTATATGAACTCAGGAAACGGAACCGCAGATTGCGTCGCAAATTCCCGATCCTGTAACAAATTTTATACATCTAACTATCTTTTCATATCATCGGAGAGTACGGCATCAAAGAATATAATTTAATATAATCATTTTAACATTTAACACGGTCTGTTAGTTTTGAATTTGGTCAAATCTGACGGTGTAATACAAATTTTGACCGATGTTTGAAATAGCAGAACTTAATAACTTTAGTTTTACCACCTACTCGGATAATATGAATATTCATAGGTCGGACATACACTATGTAAAGCCGGTGCATGATCTGAAATATGCGCTGCAAACTGTGGTTCAATTACCGAGCTCCTGTGAGAATATTAATAAAAACAACAAGAAATGACGATATATAATATAAAGTATGACTCATTTATACCTGAGATAGGAAAACATATACATGTATGTCTATTGCTTATCCCAAACGATTGTAAACAACTTTTTTGTAACACATGCACAACCAATCAATATCTGGTCACACATTGTATATGTACGAGTACATACAAAAATTGCAACATATTGAAATACATACCGTATTTTATTTGATGGTTTTTGAAAACCATACAAAGAACCATCAAAATCAACATAAAAACAGCGGAAATACATGTTTTAAACCTAATCATTTCTCAGCAAAGATTTTTTCACAGCATTCATTTATTCCGTCAAACACTTTTTATATATTCAACAAAAAGATCAATCCAGGGCAGAAAGATGTAGCATTATTAGATCCCTTTATATCTGTCAATACTGAGCTTGATCAACCGCCGCCCAGCAAACGTAAATCTTTGTAAATCTTACTTTAAAGTGACAATTTGCTCATGTCAAGATATTGACTATTATAACGGTGATTGATCAATAATTGATAAAAGAACAATGTTAATGATATAATATAAAAACAATCTACATTATAAAAATACTTCCCACTCAAAGATTATTATCAACAGATTCTGAACCAACGTAATAGAAATGCCCATTGGTCAAGTGGATTATTGATCTTTTTTTTCATTTCATAGTAAAATATGATACAATTATGAATAAAACGTAGTGGTCAATTCCTATATTAATGTCATTTTTATTAAAAATTAGATCGACGAATTTTCATAAAATAATATGTAAACCTTTTAAATACTAAACGACTGTTAAAAAACTTACGCCAGTTGGCTTATTATAGTTATATTATGTATACTTATACTGTTTACTATGTTCAAAAAATACATTTTTTTATAAGATCAATCATAACAAATGGTAGCAAGTGCCCCTGAATGGACGTGGTTATCTGCAGTTTCCTGCCCCGGTCTATTATATCCAAGCATGTATATAACAGTTTTCTATACCAATTATTGAAAAAGTTGTAAGAACATAGATAATTACTGATAATATTCTAATCATTATCATAACTTTTTTGCATTTAACACTAAGCATTCTTATTTAAACGAAACGGCGACACATTTGAAACAAATCGAATTAATATGTGAAGCATAGATCTTAAACTCGCATCTCTTGATAAAGATTCATTTGCTTTTTATACTTAAAATTGAACATATGTGACTCGGTAACACATGTGATGTTTCATTCATATTTGAAACATTTATATCAATGTACATCGATTGTAATTATATAGAAAATTAGATATTCTTCAACATGCCTTTCATATCATTAAACATACAATAAAGACAAGTTTTTCAATCAATGATATGTATTCTTATCGGAGAAAAGCACCTTGGAATATGGATTGTTAGGCAAAGTGTGTATTCTCATATATAAAAACATTTTGTACATACACATGAATAGCATATTGAAGGTAAATGATAAAAAACATAGTATGATTTCAAAGGAGAAACAAACTGAAAGACTTGTGTTAAGTGGATATTGTTTTATCTAATTACAGTCATGTCACTTAAACAAATTGTTATTTGGCAACAAACCATCAAACGAATTCAAATGATGAGTTTTGTAGAAAATGAAGTGTAGCAATTGGATAAAGACAAAGAGTTTTTAGACGGAGGTATGTTTAAAACATTTATATGAATTGTGTAATGCGATATAGCTGTCTCCATTATACTGTACAAAAATATAATTATCATGTTTACAACATGTTGCTTTTGTCATTTTACAACAGTATATATAACTTAAACAGTACCACAGAACAGAGCGATGGAAAAGAAAAGCTTATATTTAATGTGTCTTTTCTTTAATTAGGCCTTTCATACGTTGCCGTTCTTTTAACTCGAAATGTAAATTAAGCTTCATAAGTTGCTTGTTGACAACATAACTAAGCCTAGTGCTTTGAAATAGACACAAATGACATCAAAAATATGCTACTGCTTTTCTTATTGTTACTATCCATAAAAGGCATTTATTTATAAACTTCTGATTCTCTTTTCCGCAGAATCATTTTGCACGGTTTCCAATGTATTCACGACGGTTTTCAAACGGTATATACAACTTTAATCAAAGAGCAGGGCGAAGAACATCTCTGAGGTCGAAAGTTATTGTGCTTATACTGGTGTTTCTTCTGACACATTTATTTCTTAGATACTTCTTTCCAAGCGATGGTAAGTAGGCTGAGCATTGTTCTTTGTACAGTAAATTCCGTTATATCCGAGAGACAACCAATTTGAAAAAACAAGAGTAGGTACCGCGGCAACAGCATCGTTATATTTGCGGAATCGTTTTCAGTGGCGTTTACTGTACTAACATATGACGTATTTTAGATAACTAAGCTTTGTATCCCCTTATATTTGACACATGCTATATTTTGGAACAAAAGCTAATGTTTACACTAGATACTTGTTAATTTACATTTTACAAATATATGAAAAATGTTAATGTTGCCTGAATATTGTTTTTTATTATCCAGGACTTTTGCTGTCGAAGCATGCATGTATAGAGCAAGTTTGTGATATCATATTTTAGAAACTAACCACTTTAGCAAACACGCGTACAATATTTATAAACTTTTAACATAGCCGACCTTTAATCTACTGGAAGCGAAATTAATTAGCTTTGTCACCAGTAAAAAGCAAGTCTAATTTCAAATCTGTGTAGACTAACAAGACACTTTATCGTTCGATGACTGATTTCTCTAAAATTGAAAATGGACAGTTTTCTTTTTCGAAAAACAACTCCGTGTTGTTTTAAACTATAAGTATTTCAGTAATTTTATCTTGGAAAAGTCCATCATATCACTGTTAGCCTTCTTCAAAAAAGGGTCTAGAGAATTATTACATTTATAATGTGTCGGTGACATTCGTTTCTAAAAGTAGAAGGTCGGGAAACGAATCGTCCGTTTATTAATTGACCGGTAGATTATAGGTGTCGATGGGTTTCTTTATTGTTCATGTATTTTACAGTAGGCAAATTTCATTTTCCACCTTAATTCTTTTGATTTGTCAATTACATTGTATATTAAACGATTTATCTAAAAATAACATATACGTATAACCTTTAGGAAAGCTGAAGGCCACTTAATTTAACCCAAAAGTTCATCAGGTCTAGTGTTAACAGAAATAAAATCACAGTGTATTTTTACCGTTTTTTCACAGAGAGGCTTTATGTATACTACAATGTTGACGAACTGAAGATAGAAAAATCTATAAACAATCCTACGTTTGCACTGATTGTAAGTTACCAGCGGGCAGGCTTTGCTTTGATTAGTGGTTTGCTAAGTCATGCAGATGAGAGCTTTTATATTCCTGAACCATTGCAGATATTATTACCTCACGGATATTATAAAGAGAACATGGTGTGCTTTGAGAACAGCACATATAGGTAACGTCTTACTTTATAATACAGCCCGTTTGTTATGTCTCTTTTCATTGGATTGTTGTGGCATATTATATATACACCACTAATGCACTTATGAGCATTCTTATGCGCAAATGAGAACAATAGTCGCCGCTTTCGCCGTCGTGTCGTCAGTTGTGTCCATTTTCTGTACCAAATGAACTGTAACAGAACTTGAAGTGAAATCTATGAGTAGAGTGCTGCAGAAGACCGAACTGCTGCTATTTTAGAGCTATGCTTTGTTCATTTTCTATGCACTTTGAACTTTGACCGGGACGTAACTCTGCTTCTATAAGAGACATCAACAAGAAACTTAGTAGGTATATAGATCTGGTTGAGTAATTGTGCAGTGCAAAAAAAAACCCGTAACTCTGCCTTGCCTAATTTTAGAGATATTGCCCTTTGTTGATATATAAATTTTAAGAAATTATAAGATATGTCAACAAGAAACTTTGTAGGTAGATATATCTCATTGGGTAGATGTGCAGTGCAAAGGAACCGTAACTCTGCCTTGCTTAATGTGGGGTCATTGTCATTTGTTCATTTTTATACTTTGATATAGCTCTGAAACTACCAGATGCATCAACAAATAAACTTTGTATGTAAATAGATCTCATTAAGTAGAAGTACAATGCATAAAAACCGTAACTTTCCATTGCTTAATATTAGAGTTATTGCCCTTTTTTCATTTTTACGCTGTTAACGTTGTCTGGGACATAACTCTGAAACTACAAGATATGTCATCAAGAAGTAGTTTTTCTGTGTCCAAAGCCTGTTCGGGGAGCACCACCCGGTTCAGCCGGCTCTTGTTTTATTAGTAGGGCCTATTGTTATTTTGCATAATCAAAATGGTTTTTGAAGAAAAATAGTTTTAAAAAAATGAAGTTTCAAGATAATTTTGTCCAAATGTAAAATTTACTTCATCCAAGTATGATTCCTTTTTCCTCAGGAGACCAACTTCCTTAGTCGAAAGGTTACCGGATAAGTTTGTCTCAATGTGAAATTCATTTCATCAAAATATGACTGTTTTTCCACAGGAGACCAACTTCCTTAGCCGAGAGGTATGATTTTATGATCACTGCAATTCACCGATTGTTCACTTGTCAATGTTCCAAACTACACCCGCTATCAAAAGCGCTTCTAGTTAAGAGCACCCTTACCGTTTATAAGAAAATCATTTACAAGCACTGCCACTCAGTTCATTCAGCTTCCATCCCCAACTGCATTGAAGAGTTAGAAGAATTGTGCAAGTCCAAGAGTCACCGTATTATCACAACAGAGCGTTCATCAATGGAAAATGTTATAGATATGATGGAATACTGGCCAAATTTAAAGGTAGTCCATATTATTAGAGATCCACGCGGCATGGTTCACTCTCGTCTAAAGGTCGGGCAGGATTTCCAACTTGCGTTTAATCTTGAAAATCATGCAAATGAACTATGTTCGCGCATGTATGAGGACGTTAAATTTTCTTGGTATATGCAGAGAAAGTTCAATGATAGAATTAGTGCTGTTTCTTACGAGGCTTTTGTCGAGTCTCCGTACTCCGGTACGAGTTTTTTGTACGATTTTCTCAATATGCTTTATACAGACAAAGTTTGGTACAGAGTTTATCATAGCACGCATGAAAAAGAGGAAGTTGGGTGGAGCTACAATTCAACACGTGTCGCATATAGCTGGAGGACACACTTAGAATTTCAAACCGTTAAGATAATTGACCACTCTTGCCATGACATGTATAGAGTTTATGGATATGATGAAATGACTTCAGCAGCCGAACTCCAAAATCAAAGTGTTCCGACAAGACATAAAGTTCAGTTTAATCTTAAAGGATTTTTATAATTTCACGTCGTCCATAAATAAGTAATTAGTTGGTGTAACTGTATAGTATACAACGACGTTGGTGTATCTGAAGTAAACACCGATCCATTTTACTTTTATATATGTCAAAAAGTGAGCCGCGGTTGGTATGCATGTACATATAAATCTTTGGTGCTGTGACATTTTGGTCAATGGTTGTAACAAGAAAAAACTTCATAACAAAAATGTATCATTTACGAGATAACCTGTTAAACTGTACATCAAATGTACAAATAGTTTTGTTCTATGCAATTATGAATATGATCGGTTTTGTAAAACGGTTTGTGCAAATGTGAATATTCTCGTGTTTTTGCAAATTTGAAAATTGTCGGTTTGTGCAAATGTGAATAGCAATCGCAACGTTTCGGTCCTTTCCGATAGTCTTCGGATAAGGTCATTATAGAAAATAGCCGAGGATGTTCCGATTGTTGTGAAAAGGTATCGTCATGAGAAAATGTGAATATTGTCGGTATGTCCGAAAGTGAATATGTATCTTTATGTGCAAATGTGCAAATGTGAATAATTATCGTGGAGTGTAAATGCGAATATTTATTTGTGTGTTTGTTTGTTTGTTTGAGTTATACGCATTATTTCCTGTATTATATTATATATTTTAACTTTTCTTAGAAGAATAAAAGGCTAGAAAGACTTAAGTCTATAACTTCAGGTATTACTGTTTATTATATACTAGTGCCGTTTTTGCGACTCCGTAAAAATGGTATTGCACGGCGGCTTTTTGACGTTAAATGTTAACATTATACTATAGGCGCATCAATGAACAAGATCCAACGCCGGGCGGGGCAACGCTCAACTTTGTACTTTTTCTAAGGCAAACTAATAAACGGTTTAAACAAATCTTCAGGAAAAAAGGTATATTTTTATAGGTCTGTCATGTTACGCTAGTTTTGTTGAAGTATGAATCCTTTCTATAAATAAATGACAATGTTAACCCCTTTACCACTAATAGTAACACCGTCATCTCTGAAAATATGGAAACGCTAATTTCTTGAATGACTTTTGTTGCGCAAACAAGAATTGACGAAAGTCAGATTTCAATTCTTCCTGACTTGCCAATTTTTCTTCTCATCTGGATAACCTCACTAAAACACCAGATGAGGTGCAATTGGTATAACAATATCTTCCTTTGGGAAAGGCTGCTGGTCCTGGTGATATTAACAATCGGATCCTTCGTGAACTCTCACATGAACTCAGTGGCCCTCTAAGTTCTATATTTAACTATTCCAGGTTTCTCAAGTTCGAGACGTATGGAAAGAAGGAGATGTTTCTCTTTTTTTTTTAATCGGGTGACCCATCTCTTGTTAACAACTACCGACCAATATCTCTCATAAGTACTATCAAAAAAGTTTTTGAAAGAATTGTATTTAAACACACATTAAATTGTCTGCGTGATACTTATATCATTACATCTCTCCAATCCGGTTTCGTTCCAGGAGACTCCACTGTCAAACAATTAACATATTTATATAATCTGTTTGCACAGGTCATTGATTCTGGCTTTGTTTTGAGACATCAGTAAAGCGTTTGATCGGGTCTTGCACAAGGGACTTATTTATAAATTAAACTGTACATGGATTTCTGGCCGTCTTTCCTCTTGGTTTACTTCTTATCTGAAGGACAGAAGAGTTATTTTACCAGGTTGTAGAACTTTTCTAAACTTTATTACCGCTGGTGTGCCGCATGGGTCAATTCTTTGGCCCTTGTTGTTACTTGTTTACATTAACGATAATGTTATCGACATCAATACCAATATAAGACTGTTTGCCGACGATACTTACCTTTTTATTGTGGTCGAAGACCCCGTCACTGCTTCAGCTATCTTTAATTCAGATCTGGAAAAGATAACTTCTTGGGCTGAACAATGATTGGTAAAATTAAATCCCATTAAAAGAGAATCACTATTATTAACACGAAAAACATGACACACAAATAAAAGAAATATGCATTCATAAAAATTTGGGACTTACTTTCGCTCATGATTTGGGATAGTCACAAATAAAGCTTGGAAAAGAATAAATGTTATGAAAAAAATTTCCAACTTGATAGGAAATCATTAGCACTTTAATTTATCAATCTTTCATATGAACGATTTAAGAATATGGAGATGTGCTTTTCGATAATTGTACACAAAGTGATAAAAAGTAACTCGAACAAATTCAACAAGAAGCCGCTAGAATAATTACTGGAAGAATTAAGCTTGCGTTAATTGATAAACTCGTGAATTAAATTGGCTGGTAATCCTTAGAAAAAAGGAGAATAAAAAACATAAACTTATTCTTTTTTTTGAAATGAAAAACAACCTGGCACCACAATACCTTTCTGATCTTGTCTCTCCAGCGATTGGAAGGGGAAAACGTTACCTTCTCTGGAACGCGGACGGCACACAATATATCCGTACCAATACAGAATTTAATAAATATAAATCATTCTTACCTTCTGTTATTAGCGATTTCAACTCTCTTCCACTTCAAACACAAACTGCTACAACGTAGATAGTTAAGTCGTGGGAACGAGATACTATGTCGTGGCCACGAGATACTATGCCGTGGCCACGAGTTACTCAGTCGTGGCTACGAGATATTTAAGTCGTGGCCACGAGATACTATGTCGTTGCCACGAGTTACTAAGTCGTGGCCACGAGAAAGTTAGGTCGTGCGCACGAGATAAATAACCAATCAGATTACACTATTTATATGAATTTTCCTTATTAACTAAACATGTGCTATAGTCAAGGATGCCCCTTCTTCACCTGCATGTAAAAGTGCCATTTAAACAAGTTATTGCTTGGTCAATGATTTTACATTTAGCGTCATTGTGACCCTGATTTTTGACCCAATGGCCTCAAAATTATTAGGTGTCATCTACTGATCAGGATAGGTTATATAAACAATGGCTTATTACTTCTTAACCATTCATCAGACAAGAATTTTACATGGATTGTCATGTTTACCTTAACCCTTGACCTCAAACATCCATATAGGATATCTACTGTCCATGGGCATTGTGCCTACCAAATAAATAAACCTGGACTAATTCCTTCTCAAGATATCGTATAAACAAGGTTAACAGGCCGTTGTACGTACAAACTGACCAATTATATTAATAGAATTTTCCCCCACAAAGGGCTATAACTTAGTCAAAATTTATGTCTGATTAATGGGCCTTAGAAGGTGACTTTCTAATATGATCCTAAAGACATGTATCAAGATTAAAGTGAACACTACAGTATTTTCAAAGATTAATGTTGCATGTAAAACTTTAAACAGATTTTTTTTAAGTTTAAAAAATTCATAGTGTAATCTGATTGATTAATTATCCCCCGCCGAAAAATTTCGGCGGGGGATATAGAAATAGTCTCCGTCCGTCCGTCCGTCCGACCTTCCGTCCGTCCGTCCTTCCGTCCGACATTTTTGTCCGGAGCATATCTCTAAAAGTATTTGAGTTATCAACTTGAAACTTCATAGGTGGATAGACCTCATTGAGGAGGAGTGCAGTGCACAAGAATGATAACTCTACCCTGCATAATTTTTGAGTTATTGCCCTTTGTTATTTTTCAAAATTGATTTTTGTCCAGAGCATAACTCCAAAAGCCTATGAGATATCAACATGAAACTTCATAGGTGCATAGATCTCACTCAGGAGGTGTGCAGTGCACAAGACGGATAACTCTACCTTTCATAATTTTTGAGTTATTGCCCTTTGTTATTTTTTTTTACTTAATTTTTCACCCGAGTGAAGCATAACTCAAAAAGTGTTTGAGATATCAACATGAAATGTCATAGGTGGATAGATCTTATGGAGGAGGAATGTTGTGTGCAAGAATGATAACTCTTCCCTATACAATTTTTGAGTTATTGCCCTTTGTTCTTTTTCATACTATTTTGTCCAGAGTTTATCTCAAAAAGTATTTGAGGTATCAACTTGAAACTTCATAGGTGGATGGATCTCATTAAGGAGGAGTGCAGTGCACAAGAACGATAACTCTACCCTGCATAATTTTTGAGTTATTGCCCTTTGTTATTTTTCAAAATTAATTTTTGTCCAGAGCATAACTCTAAAAGCCTTTGAGATATCAAAATGAAACTTTATAGGTGCATAGATCTCACTCAGGGGGTGTGCGGTGCACAAGAATGATAACTCTACCTTTCATGATTTTTGAGTTATTGCCCTTTGTTCTTTTTCATACTATTTTGTCCAGAGTTTATCTCAAAAAGTATTTGAGGTATCAACTTGAAACTGCATAGGTGGATGGATCTCATTAAGGAGGAGTGCAGTGCACAAGAACGATAACTCTTCCCTGCATAAATGTTTAGTTATTGCCCTTTTTTTATTTTTCAAAATTAATTTTTGTCCAGAGCATAACTCAAAAGGCCTTTGAGATATCATTATGAAACTTCATAGGGGCATAGATCTAATACAGGAGGGTGTGCAGGGCACAAGAATGATAACTCTACCTTTTATAATTTTTGAGTTATTGCCCTTTGTTATTTTTCATACTTAATTTTTCAATACAATTTTTTTTTCAAAAAGTATTTGAGGTATCAACTTGAAACTTCATAGGTGGATAGATTTTACTGAGGAGGGATGCAGCACACAAGAATGATAACCTACCCTGGCATTATTTTTCAGTAAATTGCCCTTTGTTATATTCAGCCATTCCAGTATTCACATAGGTTTCAAATCTGTAATCACTATAGCCATCAGTTTTTCATTACCAAAAGACCTCCTAAAATGGAATTATTCTGCTCTACTACTTGTACATTCTTCCAATGAGCAAACACATTCGGCGGGGGATGGCCATGTTGACATGGCTCTTGTTATCTCGTGCACACGACTTAGTTACTGCGATTCCCACATAGACTCCACTATCGATCTTTTCCATATAGTTTCATCAAATTTGTTGTGGTAACAACACTTGCGTGAAATTTATATATGTATATAATCATGCTTCTAAAACAATTTCCAAACATCCAAGAATATTATTGAATATGTACCGATTTAAGTATGGATAATTTGGCTTAGACATTATAGAAAATAAATTTCTAATTACCTCCCTTTATTAACATGAAATGTAAATTCGGTAATATCTTCAGAAATGCTTTTTGGAACTTAAAATATTGATAAATCTTCATTTGTGCATTATATTTATTATATAAAACCATAAAAAAAATATTGAGTTACAGAATCTTTAAAGGCAGGTGAAATGTGGACGCGTCGTCTTCGCTTTATTTTCTACATTAAATAGATTTACTGTCTGAAACAAATCTGTCATAATAAAATTATTTCAAAGTAACTTTAATGAACATTTCTGCACATGTGTTTAACTTCAAAATTTTACTGCTTAAGCTCATGCTAACGACATAGACGGTAGTCTGCGTTTTCCCGTGCTCTCTAATAAAATTGAGGTTGCAACAATTTTAATTTGACCGTTTTGAGCGTTTTTAAGATTCAGTTAGAGAATATAACATTAAAACATGGTTTATATATTTTGGCATTAAACGCAAATCAAATTCCTCCTAGAATAAAGGTAAATGATAAATGGCAATAAAATGGTAGAAGTATACAGAAGTGAACATGAATTGATAAGCTGCACCATAATTGTATAACTTAGCCTATTTTTTTCCAAATTTTTGCGTATAAATCAATAA